GAGCACGGCCGTACAACGTACTTTGCGACATCGCTACAGATGCATGCTAGCTGACAAGGGGGTGTCCGATTAAGGTAACCAAGATGGCATCGCAGAGTGCGTGATTTTTCCGCGGTGTTTAAAAACAGCATCTCGTTGCCGATGTTTCTGTAATTTTCGGGGTATTTTTTATTTTTAAGTAACCGAGCATTTCACGTTTGTGTATTTTGCCACTGAAAAGTTAGTTATCGATGACAGCACATCAATGGTCTGAATGGTGTTTATCCACTACTACATCGCAATGCTATCAGCACGGTGATCCTTACAGCGAAAACTTAGTTAAAACTAAGCATCTATATACTGTTACATGTCAATATTTGTGCAAACAGAAATTGTAGGGTAGCAGGATGTTGCATAATACTTAAGTCGTAAAGATTACCGTACATATGGTTAGCCATTCGTTCTTCTTATCTATGCCGTCAAAGACATAACACATTTTCCGACATATTCTAACTATCAGGGGGTTTTAGATTGAAATTAGACAGAGAGGATGTATTCAGCTTCGACTTTTTTTTTGTAGGTTTGCATTCTCGGAAAATTATCGAAGTTTTATATTGGACAGGTTTAATATTTAACAGAGAGGCACGCGGACCCGACGTTGGTTTTCTTGGTAGCTTGAATTCTCTGAGAAGTATTCAAGTTTTTGATCGATACTAGACAGCGAGGCATTCGGTTCCGACTTTGGTTTTCTTGGTGGCTTGAATTCTTGAAGTTTTAGATTGATTTAAGATTGCTTTTTCGGAGGCTTTAATTCTAGAAAAGTTATTGAAGATTTAACTTGATATTAGGAATGTCGGTTTTGGGGCCGACTTTGGTTTACTTGGATGCCTGAATTCCAAAAAAAACGGACCCGACTTCCTTACTGCGAAATTATGTGCTTCACTGCGGATTAATTTCTTAGGTAGCTATAAAATGATTATTTTTGATATGTCCCAAAAGGTACAAAGGGGCAAACAAAGGTCATTAGTTTGTAGAAACGATGCATTGAAACATGGTAGGTTTCATAGCACACAGATAAATAGTTATCCGTTCAGACGAAGTGTGCCCTCATTGGTGAGTGTTTTAAATAGGCAATTTTTACTTTACTCATGTTCTGTCGTTGTACTTTGATAAATGTGGTATGTCAATATTTCTGCGTTTACTCATTTATTTTTCATGTTTTAATGAAAGATTATATTGTACTAGTCAAACCTTAGATTCGATCTAATATCGATCTATCAATTCGAGCCTCCAGGAAAACCAACTCAAGCCGTCACGCTTATCAGGATGTTTCAGATCATTCGACTTAAAATAGCATTTAGATCGATATTATTTGCATTTTATTGAGTTATCATTTCAAATGAGTTCCATAATTATCCGATAATGAAAGAAAATACAATAACTTGCCTGATGGTTCTGTCTATCCAATCCAGTAAATCATGCCGCAAAAAAGACAAAATAATATTCAATACATTATATGCCATTCTTACATTGTATTGATGATGACAACTAGTAAAATATAGTGAATCATGGTGACTTACAATGGCACACAGGTTCTGTGCCAGACCATTCACCGTCCCTTCCACATTCACGAACAGACGACCCAGCTAAACGACATGCCTGTTGTGCCGAGTCATTACAGCGGTACGTACACCTTGTACCTGGTTCATTGTTTCCTTGGCAATTGACGTTACCATGTCTGGGATTATTTAGTGGACGACAACTCACTGAAATTCAAAATAATAATGTTATTTTTGTTCTATAGTTGTTGATTCTTTTGTTTTTCTTTTTTGCTGTACGATTAGTTTACTTACCACTTCTACAGAATACCTCACGTCCCGACCACTGCCCATTGTTACAGTCCCTGTACTGCGAGCCGCTTTCTATCACATATCCAGTATTGCAATAATAAGTACATCTTCTTCGTCCAGAGTCTCCCTGGCACTGCACATATCCATTCCTAGGATTTGGTAGGTCGTGACATTCGACGCCTACGAGGGCGAAACGAAACCAGAATGTATTATTCTCATATGACACACATAACAAATAACATAGATATTATTTTAGTGTAATAATCATGTGTCACTTCCCAACAACAAAAATGCACGTAATTTTGCACAAGTTCATGGTAGCAAGCATAACGTGTAATCCTTGCGACCTTAATCATTTAAATCCGGGAACGTATAAAACCTAAACCGTAATCTACCCTCTAACACGTTAATCTCTTGGAATCAAAAATGAATATGTTTTCATTGCGCTTTCCCTCAAAAAAATATTTCCCCTTTGTGATGAGTCCATCACATGTCTTACGTGATAATGATCGCGTAATAATATACTGATTGTGACGTGTGACGAAGTAGTGAGGATCATTGATTTCGTGAATTGATCATCACTGAGAAAGTTGTTTAACATACGTGTACAGAGGACCTCTCTACCGGACCATCGGCCGTTATTTTGGCACGTTCTACTGGAGCTACCGCTACCCACACTGTAACCTGATTGGCATTCATAATCACAGCGAGACCCGTATGTATAACCATTGCAACGTACGTAGCCATTCCTCGGCGATGACAACTCTGGGCACGATATCTCTGGTAATAAAATAAATATTAATTACTTTTAAGCAAACATGAGACGCTTATAATGTATTATGAAGTTTAATATTCAACGTTTTTCTTACCTTCGCAAACTGCTTCAGTCCCTGACCAGCTACCCGATTCTTGACACGTTCTTTGCGCCGACCCCCGCACAAGGCGTAGACCGTCGTTGCAGCTGTATTGGCATCTAGAACCAACCGCATTCCCGGCAGTACAAGTTATCAGACCGTTTACCGGAGGTGAGAGAGTGGCACACGAACGAACTGTAAGATATAATATACACATGTATATTGAACTTTAAGACAACTTATGCAATAATTAGACTTGAAATGTGCTTGTGTTTCACTTGACTGTTGATACTTGAAGAACCACGGCCGTTAAAACCAAACTAACACCCGCAATAACTGTTCCAACGAGTTTTAACTTACTATAAACTTTATCTTAATACATTACCATTATTTGTAGGGAGAACACTCACGTTGGCACTGTGAATCCGATCCTGTCCATCTGCCATCATTTGAACACACGCGACTTGCAGGACCATGTAGTGTGTATCCGGCATTGCAGTGGTACTGACACCAGGATCCGGGATTATTATCACCATAACAGGAAATATGTCCGTTAGACGGAGAAGGTAAGTGGGGGCAGGGTTCAACTTTTCCTGAAACGAAATAGAAAATAAACCAATCAGTCAAGACGAGTAAAGATGTTTACTCTATTGGCTAAGTTTAGATGTCATTACACACATGTATAAAAAATACCCAATTGAATTGGTACTGTATGATTTTTCTAACACTCACATGGAGAGTTTCGCTGCGAAAAACATCGCACGCAAGCATATAATTCGTAAGAAGCTGAGCTGATCGGTGGAGCGCATCACTTGTATTAAATAGAAATGAAGTGTCACTAACTTACTTTCGCATATACCATTCGCACCTGTCCAGTCTCCATTAGTATTGCATGTACGTGTTGTGGAGCCTACCGTAATATAATAACCAACATCACAGCGATAGTGACATGTTGATCCAGGATTTAGTCCAGAACAGCTGAGGTAGCCATGTGGCGGCGCACTAAGTTGACTGCATCTAATGGCTATTTAAAATACGATATGAACTATTAGGCATCGATATTTGTATTACTAATATGTCATTACCACTGAGCACTCAAGATAAAATTGTACAAAGGAATTTTTAATTAAACATACATCATGACGTTCTTTGTAGAACATATTTTGTTTCTTTTTCTGGAAATAGAAAATATGCAATCTACTTCGAAAGAATTCTTATTAGATATGCTCTTGACTCGACGACAGAAACTTGAGCTATGTAGGAATGACTGGCAGCAGTGCCCTGTTCAACTTACAATATTGGAAGCTTGGTACTCTCTCGAAAATGTATTTTTCACATTACAATATTTCAATTTTATTCATGTTTGTCTGTTAATCAATTTGAGAATAATAACCGGCTGGTATGTAACAACCTATCTTCTGATTATATGAAGTGCTGACGTCACACGATACTCAACTATAGACATACGAGCATGAATTAAATTATTATTGAGCTATTAGTATTAACTGTCTGTGATAAATGAGTCAATATGTTACATGTGTTCCTCTATAATATTTCCACAACATTAGAGCCTCTTCCCGTATTTCTTTGAGTGGAATGGGTTCACTCATCTTGTGAAATAATTAGCATATTGCGGGCATAATTGCAATCATTTTGAACTTGTTTGTTTTTCGAAAGCCCCTTCCATTTTATTGAGTCAATTCGACTTGACTTGAAGACGGGCATAATTACGTTTCTGTGTCCCGAACGGTGCATTTGATGGGATCCGAACCAAAGCAATCAGCATGTCCGCTGCTTTATCAAGATCAATTTTAGCATTCCAATCCCATAGACAGTGTACACAAACCGCACATAAACATAGAACATTAGTAGTATTAGGTTTGTCACTAAACATCAATTTTGGAACTGAGGTATTCCAAACCATCAACGAATAAAACTCATAAATAACAGGTAAGCAAACCTCTACAACGAGCTTCCGAGCCAGTCCAGTGCCCATCAGCTCTACACCTTCTGGTCTCCGTGCCAGACTCTAAATAATATCCTACGTTGCATGTATAGGTACAGGTAGAACCCGGGATATCTCCTCCACGACAACGCAGATCGCCATTTACCGGTGGCATAAGTATATCACATCTACGAACTAAAATAAAGTTATGACAAGTTTACTACGTATACAGAAATGATAATAATTGAATCAAACACAAATATTTTCGATTAATTATAAAGGAAAAACAGCCACCCAAATTTTAGCGTTTTACGGCATTTTCCAACATTACAAACGGTATTCTCCGATGTCTATATTCACAAACACTTGTTAAGTAACCTTGTTAACACATTTTAAAGTACTTAACCTATTTCATAATATTTCACTAAGAAATTCGACAAGCCATGTGTTGAAAAACTTATATCAAAACATACTTTGACAGTTAGCCTCTGTACCGGACCATCGACCACCAGCGCCGCAGTCTCGTTGTTTGGAACCACTGACTAAATAATAGTTAGCGTTGCAATAGTAAGTACACACAGATCCCTGTCGGTTACCAAGGCTACACTGCATACGAGTGTTTGGCGGTGCGTTTAGTTGGTTGCACACAATGGCTGTGGTGAAGAAAGGAAATTATTACATGATAGTATGCTAGACTTATTATACAATGTGTCGCGATTATACAAGTTTGGAAGAAATGTTTACATTTTCTCATTAGTCGTACAGAAATTTTCATATACGAATTTCGGAAGTTTATTTTGGTGTTTTTGTGTGTTTTTTTTTTGCCGAATACATCAATTTGAATAAATGCATCTTCATTCACCTGCTTACTGTTTTGCACAATGACAATCGTTTCTGCTCTAGTATTAATCAATCTCCTAACTTTCATTTCAGTTCGCATGATAATATTGCGTTAAATTAAATTAGTGACGAGAGTTTCATATAGGGTAAGTTACAACTATTTGTATTTAATTTACCAATTAAATTTATATGAACGAAGGGCTGGTTCATCCGGAAATTAAAGACTATTGACGATTGCAGTGTTCTTGATGTAAACATTTAATATTTAATAAACTAATCTTTAATTACTAGTATTCTGTCGCGGTGCATGTTAAGATTCAAGTTTTACAAAAACAAATCATTTCATATTTTAGCTTCTTGAGCCCACTCTTGTAGCTTACAATTGTATGAACCTATATGGAAGCACAGTCGTCGATTGCACCAAACAACAATGAAATTATTTTATGCACGGATACCCATTGTGAGTGCTCTGACCCAATCAGCGCAGTTATTATCTGATGCGAGAGGGCGTGTCATTTATTAAAATTTTAGGTTACGCAGTGTCCCTAGCTTCGTTTTGGCAAACACAACGCCAAAATAAGTTCATCAACTATGTATTTCTTTTTTTACACGCCTGTTGAAACAATACGAGTTTTTACTTTCATTGTTGTTGTAGTGGTTGTTGTTGCAGTGCTTTTACAACTCATTCATACCCATTAAACACTGTGGTATGTAGGCAACACTGTGACAGTAGCGTATGTTGTTCCATATATACAGACAGTTTGTGTAAGAGGGACAAACAATGTTTTTATAAACAACACACACATTCACATTACGGTCGTCATACGAGTCATTACGAGTCGTTTTCGGGATTCACACAAAAAATAGATTATTTATTTACAAAAAATGCCGCCTGTCGAAAATGGCGCTCGGTACAATGAGCTAATTATTTTCGCCAGAAATAAAAGTGTTTTCAAATGTATCTCTCTTACCAATTAAAGCGGGAGG